GTGCTATATATATACATATACTTAGCTAGATGCATATTTATATATACATAGATACATATATATACACATAGCTGCATACATACATAGCTACAAACAGATACATACATACATATAGAGAATTTCATACAAACTTTCACAAAAACCCCACACACACACACACACAGACATATATATATATATATATATATATATATACTAAAGTGATATGTTTTTGTAAGGGTTTATATAGTGTTACTTTATATGTGTTTGAAGTTTAAATACTGTCGAGACAATAAAAACACACATGAGTTTAAATGAACAAAAAATCATAAAAAAATGTACTATATGTTGCATATCATCTTATAAAATATGCCATTTAGGTTTTCAAATTAGATCCAACTATATTAAATAATTTTAAGAGATTGTTCCCACATTATACAATTAACTTTATTTCAAAGAGCTAAAATAGTAGAATAATTTTCTTAATTAAGTTAGTTCAAAGATTACAGTAGTCATACTTTATAATATGGGTTATATGGGATGATGAATTTCTCTAATTAATTTAGTAAAGATCCAAAAGTCATGGGCTAATGAACATGAATTAGGTATAATTGATTAGATTATAGATTATGTATTGCATGAAATTTTAATACCCTGTTGACTACTATATATATATATATATAACTTAATGCATTTAATATAAATTATTTTTCCAAGAATTAAACATGAGAAAAAATAGGAACTATGAGAACTTGAGAATCAAAATGAGAAAACACACACACACACACACACACACACACACACATACATATGGGAAAAACACTTTGAGATTGAACTTAAAAACCCCAAATTATAGTTTTTCAAAGGAGCATGCACAATATGATTGTCTTTTTTCTCTATCTTGCTATCAACATAGTTGAAAATGTCATCTTTATAAGAGCAATAACTATTTGTTGAAGAGAAGTTTTTGAGCTTAAATTATTCATGAAGAACTAGGTGCATAATCTGGAGTGCAAGAGTAGTGATCTTCTTTATTTGATTGAGAGATAGGATGTATGGGTTTTCCATCACCCATAGAAGAGAAAGTGTTCTCTACTTTGCTATGACAAAGAGGAGAGAGGAGTTGAACTCTTGAAAGGACGATTTAACACATGGACATAGATGTTAGTGTTGAACCATGATAAATCAATTTGCATCTTTTAATTCTTGATTTTATGCGTTACCATATCAACTTTACTTTCTTTGCTCTCGCCACTCCTTACACTATGAATATTATTATGGTATCTAAGATATACGGGTTAGATGATGATTACTTGGAAGTTTGAATTCTTTGTGATTTTTTAATCATGATAATCAGTTGTACAAGAAAAAAATAACCATCAATTATTTGTGTCTTTGCTCTAGGGTACATCAACACAATCAATCTTTAATTTGCTTTTGGAAAAAAAATTATACTCCTGTACTGCTTGCTAATTTTAGTTTTAAATAAATGAAATAATATTAATAAAATTAAGACAACATTTGTTTTACAATTACACACAAACTAATCCTTATCTTTGAAACATGTATTATAAGATTATACTTTATATATTGTTTGAACATTAAGTTTCCTAAGTCTCTCTCCTTATAACTTGATCCAAGAATTATTGCTCATGAATATGTTAAAACCTAAACAATCAAACATATAACATCATTGACCTTGCATGGAGTTTTAAAATCGTGAGAGATATTTATAAGCCGTAGGAAAGGGTAAAATATGACATACGGACGACTGAAGGTGCGAAAGGTGGAAACGGCGGCCGTGATTTAGCCGAGAAAAAAAAAAGATCTTCCGTGGATCGCAACGGTTGTCGTAGGTGCGACATCCACATCTAATAAGCTTTCTTAGGAAAGAGGGCAATAATACCAATTTTTTGTTCGAAAGTCTACATTAGTCTTTGGTTAAGAACCACAACTCATTTTTAATGTCATAAGAATTTTTTGATCTACAATGATCTTTCAAGTGTATTTTCAAAATATAAACAAAAATATTTATCCACTTAAGATTTTCATGAGTAATATGAAGTTAGATTTATTATAAGTTTCTTTTGATGTAAAATAAATACTTTGTTTGCATATCTTCCCAATAGCGCAGATGGACGCCGGGGGTCTGGACTCCGATGGTCATGGATTCCGCAACTCAAAGGAGATGTGGAGAGAGGAGATCGGGCTAGGTGAAGAAGAAGAAAAAGACGCCACCTGTGCTCCCGCCGCCAAACGCCATGGTTGGTATCAAAAGGGCATCTCCTACTGGCAAGTAAATAGCGTGATTTCGCCTTCTTTATTTATCTGCTCCTACCATCTTTTTCAAATTATTCCCTTCCTAGGGCGTGGATGCATCGGTGGACGGAGTTCTTGGTGGTTACGGCCACGTACATGAGGCTGACGTTAAGGGAAGCGAGTCTTTCCTCAAGCCCTTACTTGTCGATCGGTTTGGAAGCGAAAGGAGGCATCTTGTAACCCTAGGTAACTTTTGGCCGTATGCTGCATCTCACATGTTTGTATGAAAATACGATCTTGGATTCTAACCTAACAATTCATAGTTGTAAATAATAGAAGCTGCCACAAAGATGGTGCGCAATGTTTGGATAAATGGACCTAAGCTGCTTTCGAGAAAAAAACAAGCTTTTATCGAGAGAAGCCTAACCAGAAGATCATTATGATTGCAAGTACTTCAATTTGAGAGGCACTTCCAACAGGCTCTTAGAACCATACACAAACAGGGCTGCCTTTTTGGATCGAGTTTTGAAATAATTCATACATCAGCTTCTCCATAGTTGTTTCATAACCTACTTTTATCGATAGGAGCCTACCCAAATGAATAGATTTGTTCTAATTGGTTTTGTTTGGACTGAAGGGCAGTGGAGGAAATTAAATGAAATCCATACTATTTATGATCTCATTATGAATCTAGAACCATAGAGTTTTTGCTTTTCAGCCCTTTGTCATTTCTTTCACTCAAAGTACTAGCATCCAAACACAACCTTAGTGTCCGCCCTGCTGGGAAGTTTTGATGTGCCATTTAACAATACATATTCTCCTTATTTTAAAGGTTATGATGAAGAATTTTATGTATCAAATGTAGATAAATGGAAATGGGGTGTATTTATTATTCTTCTAACTGTTTTTATGAAATTACTACAGATTGTGGTTCAGGCATTGGGAGGGTGACAAAAAGTCTCCTGTTGAAGCATTTTAATGAGGTAAGAAATGCTAGATTATGATTTTTTAATTTTATGATTTGGTATAATATGATCCATAATTTTACAATGCTTAGGTTGAGGTGTGTGTGCACATGCTCACACTATTATATTAGAATAATGGGGCTTTTACATATATAGCACCCACAACTTCCATATTTACGTATCTCACGCCAAAAATTTCATAATTACGAACATCATATGAAAAGTAGTACTCATTATCACTTTTTAATAGTCAAATCCATAGGTAAGGTGCTGTGTGTAAAAATGAAACTTTAGGTGTGAGATAGGTAAATTTATAAGAATTGGGTACTATTTATGTAATTTTCCCTGGAATAATATAATCCATTTGCTCATTGTACAATATCCATCTTGGATGACCAACATTTAGAGTAACTAAAAACTACTTTTTACATTCCTAATAATTTGTAAATATTTTAAATCCAAATCATTTGAATATGTTGATGGTGGTATAAGATGTACAAGGAGAATTGTCTTAGCCTTCTTAAAAATGTAGTTCTCTCTCTCCCTCTTTATCTCTCTTCACACACACACACACACACACACACACACATACATACATATGATTGGTGAATGTAAGGGTCCGTTTTGAGCAGCTTGTGCGTTTCAGGATAAACTGCTTATCCTGAAACACGGCCCGCGGGCCAGCCGCAGGGGTCGATCCGCGGCCTGCGTTTAGTGTAAAAACCCAAAAGCAGTTTCAGATAAGCGGGTGAAACCCGCGAACCAAACAATACGACGGCGTTTTGAAAACGCCGCCTGCACTTATAAGCTGCCCCAAACGGACCCTAAGTTGAACAAAATTGCATGTATCAATAAAGGTTATAAGCAATTATCTATTTGTAAGCATTTGCACTTGCAAACATAAAATTTATTAAAGAAATAAATAAGTAATAAAAAATTTGCATCATCAAGGCAGATTGCATAAACATTTATAAGCAAGTTGAACTCAATTCTTGTTTGTTGTTCCCAAAAAAGATGACAGTGAATCCTCCCCCAAAAACTTCAGACCTATTAATATGCTATTGGAGCTTTCAAAAATTTCACCAAAGAGCTTGATAACAAACTCAGAAGGCTTTCTTCCAAATTGGTCAATATCTTTTATAGTGCTTTTTTTGAGGGAAGAGGAATTATTGACTGTATTATTGCTTTCCATGAGTGAATTCACTCAATTATTAAGCAAAATAACTAGATTTTCATATTTAAAGTATATTTAGAAAAATGGTTTTTGATAGTTGTGGAATTTTTTATAATTTTTATTGTAAGCTGTTTCTTGTCTCTAATTGTTATCTCCTGGATTATGCTGTCTATCACGCATGCCACTTGTCAAATTATTGTTGATGTGGATCTAGTAAACATTTTAAGGCCTTGCCAAGATACTTATTATAATTATTGTTGATATTCTTCATAAAATATTAGAAGGTGTTTCATCTAATAACTTGATTGGTGGTTGTTACTACATACTTGAAAGTCGAGTACCTTTAGTTTCCAATTTTCTTATGATATTGTTGTTTTGCAGTGCTTTTTCTTATCAAACAAATATTCTAAAAAATATTATATCCATCTTTGAAGATGTCTTTGGGATTAGAAGCAGCTTGAAAAAATCATCTCTTGTTTATGTTGATAAAAAAACATGGTTTGGGTGCCCTTCTCGCTAACATTTTGGGTTGTTTACCTTTTTCTTCTAGTACCTGGTTATGCCCTTGGGTTCTAAATTTCTTTAGTGTGCTTTTTAGAATCCTCTTATTTACTAGGTTCATTAACAACTCCTTTTATAGAAACGCAACTTCTCTTTAAAGGTGGTAAAAGTATGGTATTAACTTTGTGCTCTCATCTATAGTACCTTTGCTTTGGATTCTAAATTGGGTTATTCAAGAAAATTGATGATATCAATTTTGGAAGCGTAATGAAGAAAATGATGATTTTAATTTTATCAAGTGAAAGAATTTTAGTAGGCTTAAAGACAAGGGTGGTCTTAAAATCAAAAGCTTATAAATTTTGATTATTCTTTGTTTCTAATGGATTTTTAGAGGACTATTCAACCAAAAATTGATTTCAAAGATTCTATCATCCATAAAAAGTACTTTAATAACTCTATGTCCTTTGGATTTTTGTTCTAGTGATGTTTCTCTCAGCTTCATTTTTTTAATGAGATCTTTTAATCATCCTATTCCTTCTTCAATGTTTTCTGAGCAATTGAAAACGGTATAAACATTAAATTTAAATGACTCAATAAATTATTTATCTCGTTGTATGACAAAAAATAGCCTTGTTGGGCCAAAAAGTGTCTATGTAGACTTTGTGGACCTTTTGGATCAATCCACCTAAGATTCAATCCAACAACCAGCCAAATACAAATACGTGTTGGTGGGCATGATTGTCTGAGTATAAGTTATAGGATAAGAGTGATTGATTGGTGAATACCGTCCCTGTGAGATAAATCGGAGAATGATTCATTTTGACAATCTCGTTGTCTTGCCAAAGATTGCGCTATCATCCTTAGACGCTCCTCAAACCTAAACGCGATTCACTTTAGGGGCGAGTGGGCCTTAAGGAGTTCTAAGGTAGGAGGCCGAACATACGCTTTCTAAGATAGAAGGTCAAATAGGCATTGATAGGATATAGGCACCAACGATAATATAATATATTGCTCGAGATAGTAAATGACAAGTATGACCAGCCAAAGATTCCTAGAGATCTGAGTATAATCATCATATATATATATATCATATATGAAAAATAGTTCTATATAAAAGTAGAGTTAATATACAAATGACATTCTGTTGAGCCATTACCCTAATAAATAATACAATCCATCTTTATATTTTCTTCTTTCTTCTCTCACACGTTCCTTCTTTATGACCTTCAGGTGCGATTTCATGGACAATAAAATTCAACATTCTTGAAATGTGTCCTATGGATCATGTCATAGACAAGAAGAGTGTCTATACAAGTAACCGAACCAAGCCACAGTGAAGTCATGGCAATATGGATTGTGATAGGGAATTTATCACCCAATAGATTAATAAACCTGATGAATAGGCGGTGAACATCATCAGAGATACTTTGTCCCAAACTACAATAGATCGAGCGCTGCCGCCTCGACTAGTAGCCCTACTGCGAGGAAGAGGGGAACTTGCTGCTAGTATCCAAAGGGACTCCTTCACTTGCTCTAGTGGAGGAGGACGACTAACACTATCCACAAAGTGCGGGTTCGACCCTATCAGACAATGAGTGGGTTGAGATCTCTCAACCATATTAGTTGGAAACTGCTTTCTCTAAAGAGATAGCCGATTACTTGGAATCTTATCGAGAGTGATAGGATCCATTTGATCATATTGCCTCTTTCAAATGTGTTGTTTGTTTGTTGAGGGTGAATGATGTTTTGAAGTATTGATTATTCTTTATTACTACGAAAGAGTCCGCTTTAAGGTGATTCAATAGTTTGTCGTTAGGAGTGATAACCTTCTATGCATACTTTAAATCCATGTTTATTACACAGTTCACCGGCGCCCAAAAATCTCAGAAGAGTTCTCAAGCGTTAATCAAAATTCACAAGGAGATAGGAGAAACCTTGTAGTCTTTTGTGACTTTCTTCTAGAGAAAAATACTGGAGGTACGAGACTTGGAGCCAACGATTGCTCGTGACACATTAACCTAAGGACTAAGGGAAAGTCCTTTAAGTTCTATGCTAGGTTTGTAGCGCCCACGTTCCTTGGCCTAGTTATTAGAACTTTTGCCAATAATCACCTCTCCATTGAGGAATACAACTTGCTTCCTGCTACTTATCGAGAAAAGCACGCGGAGACTCACCCATTGAAGAGAAACTTTCATCAAATTAGAAGAGTACCTCGCGTATCACAACCTTTCATGAGGCCAAATTTTGAGGAATGTTGGCCACACCCTTTTCAAGAAAGGACTTAGGTTCAAGAGAGATGGATTCATTCGATAAAAAGGTGGGTTCAATATCAAGAAAGGTGAATTGATTGTCTCCTAGAGAGGTCAACATCACCAACTCATTACCAGTCACAATAGATTTAGTTGCATGCCTCCATGGTCTAGACCATTAAAAAAAAACTTTTGCAAGCCCATGCCCATGATGACATGAGGATATCTGCGTAAACCATATAGGTACTTCGCCTATCATCATGGCTGCGATCATTATATTGAAGAGTGTCATTGCATTCGAAGCTTGATTGGGGAATTAAATGAGGAGAAACTAAAAGAGTTTATGACACTCGGAATAGTGAACCAAAGACAATGGAAAGCACCAGCTGAAGCGACTCACAATGAGCCAACTCGGGCTTAGGCAATGCATATAACATGGATTGTACAACCATATACTTGGTGGGTATGGAGTTGAGGCGTCTCACCAAGCAAGGTGTAAAGCTATGCTAATGAGCTATGTGCTTGGAGACCTTGTCTCAGTGGCGAGTTGCCTATCCACCACTTATCATTTTCACCAAAGATCTGTCTGCAAAGTTGAACTCCTACAATGATATGATCATGATCATAGTGTTGATCACTTGTTACCAGATTAATAACATCAGTATAGATATAGGAGTTCCATTAACATCTTATTTGAATTTATTTTTGACTAGATGAATCTTGGTAATTGGAGATTATCATCTACCTCAGGGCCGTTGAATGGATTCTTTGGCGAGAAGAAAGAAGCACTAGGAATTTTAGCCTTCTTTATCACGTGAGGACAAGCAATTCACAGATATTGTCAACTTCATCGTAGTTGACTGCGTAGCAAAATACGCCATTTTTTGCCGCCCATTGCTCAACATGTTTGAAGCTTCCATCTCGATAGGTTGAAATACTACTAATTGTTAAGTTATAATTATATTTTTTAGCAAAATATGATAATTTTTTTCATACCAATTTTTTTAATGTTGTAAATTTCTTTGTTTATTATTATATATAATTAGGAAAAATGTTTTAGAATATCATGAACTAATTTTATAAGAATATATCAAAATTATTTAGCTGACAAAGGCAAAAGTTTGTTTTGTAGTAGTCAGATTATTATCAAACAAAAGAAAGAGCAATAATTTTGAGGCCTTAACTTGTAGTCTTTTTGTAGTTGTTGCAAGTACATACTCTCAACAACAATAGGTTGAAATACTACTAATTGTTTAGTTATAATTATATTTTTTAGCAAAATATGATAATTTTTTTCTTGTTTTAAATATGACCAAAAATATCATTTAGTCATCATTTACTTTGTACATTCTTTTAAATTATGATTAATTCTACTGTGGTCTAAATTATTTATTTTCAAAGATAATTGTTTTATACCTTTTTCCATCTTGATTGAAAGTTTGAAACATAAGCAGCCGTCTTGCTTATTCAATAAATTTAAAAAATGGGCAAAAACTAATGCTTAAATCACAACAAAGAAAGACTTAAATGACAAATTGTAACTGCAAAAAAAATGAGTGTATTATATATAGCAACTTAATAAAGGTTATCCTGAGTTAATTATCTTACAGATAGTTAAATAGTAAATCTTCTAAGGAACATTTACATGCATTCTACACAGTTTCTATAGATTTACTTGCATATCTAACACCTAAACTTTGGATTTTACCTTTATGCTACTTTATTTATATTTGAAAAGGTATGTTACTCTCTTTAAAAGTTAGTAATAGTGATATTTTTGATTTGATTTGAAAATTTTGAGTGTTATAAACATACAAATCAGAGTTTAGATGTTAGATATGTAACTACATAAGAATTTTGTGGTATGTATGAAAATGTTTCATTGTCTGATTGTATTTTGCTTAACCATACATGCATTCTTGTTGTAGTTATTTTATCAAATTCAGTACAATTTTACCCTAAAATGTCCAAAAAGGCTTATTGAGAAGATATCCACTCTTATTTTGGTCCAAAGCAATCGTTATTTGGTAAGCCTGACGAAGGACTATCTTGGTTCAAATTTGATACTTATTGCACTAAATTGAAGAACTGTAAATTTTTGGGTTTAAATGGGACAAGCCTAATAAGTTTATTGATTAGTTTTGCTGTTCACTTTTCTTTTCTTTGGCATAACAAATTTTGTAGATGTCTTTAACTAGGGTTTTTATGGATTTAAAAAACTTCGCTCTTTCTTATGTGAACTCTTATTCATACCTTTTCGAGTTTTTTTTTTGTGCTTTGCATGTGTACATTTTATTTATTAATGGTTACTAGTATGTATTTGTCACATCCTGGGTTCGGAAGGTGGTACACCCTGACAATGCACGGTAAGATGAAATGAATTGAACCTATCAAAGGAAGATTGTAGACAAATAATAAAAGAAATAAATAAAGAAATTTTAATTTTATTTCTTACTTAATAGTTCACTGATACAACATAAAGAAAAATAGAAAACGGACTGAATCAAAACTGAAATGATAACAAAGAACGACTATCCAGGCAAAAAAAAAAAAGAAAATAAAATTATAAAAAAACCGAAATTAGGAAATCTAAAACTGGAAGGTCCACTTCGATGGAGATGGTCCTGCTAGTGGTTGAATAGAAGTTGAAATATCAACAAATGAGTTTGACAAACAAATTCAATAAAGAATAATTATTTATTAAAGTACAAATGACAAAGAAAATGAGACATGTAGTATAAACGAGAAATTGATAATTACTATATGCATATATGACATCATGAGGCAACAAAAATGTTGTAAGCATTTTTATGAGTTAAGTTATACAAATATGCTCAATGATCTTAAGGAAACATGCAATCATTTATTAAATTATAAAGGACAAAGAAAATGGGGCATGCAATATAAATGAGAAATGGACAATTACTATATGCATATATGAGATCATGAGGCAACAAAAATGTTGTAAGCATTTTTATGAATTAAGTTATACGAATATGCTTAATGATCTTAGGGAAACATGCAATCATTTTAAATCTGATCGAGTTACCAATATATAACTTAGCCATTTTTTGTTAATCAATTTCCATTTATATTTATATTGTCAATTTTTAACAGGCACCCTGAAACTGGAAAGATCAATATAAATTTAAAGAAACCCGATGATTTCCTATAAAGTCGTCACTTTGTTGTCTCGTTGGCCCAATTAGCCAATATCTAAAAGAGTTTCACCAATCTTGATACCATCACACACAAACAAATAATTTTCCACAAGTAATCAATCATGCTTGTGATAGCACAAAAATTTACATACAAATTTGTGAAGGTAAAGTGCATGGAATGAAAATATTATAATTGCAAGATTTATTCATATATGTGAGAGTTTTGCAGCAATAGAGTAAGACAGTAAGTGATTTCCGCATGAGCAATAATTGAATCTTAGAGCCAATGCCAAATAACAATTATAATTGAAGTAGTAAGAGCATGACCGACAATCTTATAAAATAGTTATGAATTCACTACAAACAGTAATGATAATCCCCTAACTAGTTTGGTACGTTTATCCCCTAATGGAAAGAAGCAATTACTTACCTCTAGGTGGGCCACAACACTTCAAACGCTTTAGTAGATCAATTGATGTCAACTAGTATGTCCTACCATGAAGGTCTTCTCCGTTGTAACTTACCTTTTGGGTTAATGGTGGAATTTCAACAGAAAGTCCAAAGTTAAGCATTGGAGCATTGGAGCACTCCTAGGATGAGTGACCTCCTTGGAGGTTACACCAACAATGCAAAATCATGAGACTACTAGGCCAAAGCGGACAATGCCTTGATGGATAAGAGTTCGGGATGTTATAGTATTTGTACTTGTGCTGCCATTATTTATTTTTTAATGTTTATTCTACATTAAGCCAAGCCGTTTTCTAACACTCAAGCTTAAGCTCATTCTTTTTCTTGATTTGTAGTTAAAAGTCTTCTCTCATTCTAATAAGGTTTTTGTCTAAAATTCTATGCATATTTATCAGGTTGATCTTTTGGAACCAGTAAGACATTTTCTAGATGCTGCTCGTGAAAATCTTGCTCCAGAAGGTGATATGAAGGAAGTTGTGCACATGCCTGTTAATTTCTATTGTCTTCCTCTTCAGGTCATTGATTTTTTTTTTCCTTGATTATCGCCTCTATCATTTGAATATCTTTTGCTTGGGTTCTTCATGCATCCTCTTAACAGTATGATTCAAATGTTTCTTACGATTAGGAATTTACTCCGGAAGCTGGAAGGTACGACGTGATTTGGATTCAATGGTGTATAGGACATCTTACGGATGATGATTTTGTATCATTCTTTAAGAGAGCAAAGGTGTGATCTAATGCATTATTATGCTATTATTTGTTTATTTCATGATTTAATTAATTTTGATCAAGTTTGCCATGCTTCTTTTTTCATATGATTAGCAAGTTCTCAACCTTTTTGTACAGTATATTTAGTGGAATCTTACTCGTTTCTATTTTGTTTAGCGCACTAATAACTTTGTCATATATTATTTTGGAGAGCAGCATAGTTTCATAAACATGCATTAACCTTGCAAAGCATTAATTTTCTCCATATTTCTTCAAACATTACGGAAAACATGTTTATAATTCAAGGCACAGTATTTGTATGTGAATAATCTTCTTCCGGTTAGATTCTACAAAATGGAGCTATTTAGTTGTTTAAACCAATTATTTTAGAACTTTATTGATATTTATATGCACACAATCACACACGTATTTACATACCTATCCTAAGTAGGGCTTGTTGGAGTTTGGATCGAGAGAAAAATCTAGTTTGTAGCTTTACTTATTCAAGATTTGAGCCCAATTCAAACCCAAAAAGGTACAATTTTTATCAATCTCCCAATTTCATGTTAACTTTTTAGCCCTAAAAGGGAAATACTAGCTTGTTAGCATTATATATTAAGTTAAGACTATTTATGGCTTAAATACAATATTGAACTATCGCATTGAAACTGTAAGCGATTCTTTCAAGTAAAAATCGTGAAGTGGATCACACTTAGGCCTAGGAGCTCATGAAAAACCATTAAATAACCCCATTTGATTTTCACATTGCAATTGCTTGGATCATAGTGGAAGGCAAAAAGAAATAATAATTTTTGATAGTAAACACACCCAATAGTGACCCTTGCTCCTATAGAATTGAGCTGATATGTTTGTTTTCATTAGCCTCCTCCCTATCCCTCTAAATCTAATTTTTTGTGGATGCCTACAAGCTCTTTTTCAACGCTTAATATAGCGCTTTGAAAAAATGGACTAATTTTGGATCGAAGGAGCCATAAGTAGTGGTGAGTTTTTATAGGTGGATGGATTATGTTGGCTTTAAAAATATTTGAGGAAATTAACTCTGTTCGTCTCCCACGAAACATCTAACTATATGATATTTAGAAAACCTCTCTCACGTCATCTGAAACTATTTTAAGCGAGTTGAATAATTTATATATGTTATGTAATCATGGTGTCCATTAGACCTTTTTTTTAATGATTATTATTTTATTTTCAATACGTTCATCCAAATATTTTGAAGTCTCAACATGAACTTGGCCAAGTCAACATGAGGTCACTTAAATTAGCCCAAATAGCTATCAACTCGACCTAACCAACTGGATTTATAATGAACTTGTCAGACCTATGGAGAACTCTCAAATTCATTGTGAACTTGCTAAGCTCATTTGTTAACTTGCTGAGCTCATGATGGACTCGACCACCTGACAAAGTTTAGGCATAGTTGTCCATGCTCAAAAACTATCCAATTACTTCCTTACGAAAGACTGAAAACTTTTTGCCAAGCTTGTTACAAGTCCGAATCTTCAATTTGGCTACTTGCTTATTATAGTTTATGGCAACCAATGGTCTCATTATCTAAATTTTGTTCATTGAACTTTTTATATAGCTTTTCTCATAGTGCTCAAACATATTTTAGCGAAATCACAAAGCTTCATGTTCTAAATTCCTCCTTTTTTTTCTCTCCTCTTTTCATTGAGGGCCAGTAATATTCTACTAGTATAACCTGCGGACAATTTTAAATCTGACATCCTCAAAGAGGCAGTGAGTATAGATTTTTATTAAGAACGAAATTAGATAATGATCGAAGAGGAGCAAATTAGAGAAAACTCAACCAACATGGGCTTTATTACTACTCGACAAACTAGTTGAGATGGAAGAAAGGATGGGAAAGATGATCTAAAAAATTGTATAGTAGATTTCTACAATTCTAAGGATACAATTTCTAGAGGAGCCATCGGATTTTGTTATCAAGATGCATTTCAATGAAACTGTTGCCTTCCACTTCAATAATGATGTAACTTGCTACCTTGATAGAAAATGAATTCATCCTTCTTCTCTCGTAGAGCAAATAAATGACTGAAAAGGCTAACTTGCAATTTACAATTGCATTCTAAGACAAAGCGTCCTATAAAGTTTAAGATTTCACATTTTGATTTCTACAAAGGAAATTTGTCTTGACTGATAATGTCACTTTGAATCCATTGTTTCATTACATAACATCAACAATGCTTTGAAATATTGTTTATTTTCCACAACTTTCAAGGAGTCGACTCTCAAGTAATTTCTCGCTATTATTTAGGATGATTGCTTCATTCACCAAGCTCAGAAGAATATTTATTACTCAATTTTTTGGCACCCAACTGTAAATCTAAAGGGGGCAAACATGCCGTAGTGTAGGATCAATAGGCATACTCTCGTAATTGATAACATAGAGAAGCTTACCAAGTTGAGCTCAGGACAAACTTGTCGAATTTGGTTCATTGGTGGATTCCGTAGCTAGATTTTGGAACAATTAGCCCAACCGAGTTCGAGACATCTACCTGCTGAGTACTAGGCAGACTTACATGTCGTCTAAAAGGGAAAACATCCATAAGGTTCAAGAACTAGCTCGAAACTAATTGTCGATTGGTTGGATCGAACCAATGCAGATAGTCGACTACATGTGGAGATGGCACTCAGCCTATACTTTTATGTGGTCCAATTACTCTGTTATATTTGATGGTTAACTATTAGGCTAAGTCCAAAATTTAGCAGTATTAGCGCTATAGGTCTCTCATACTTTTCCTATATTTTGGCCTATATTAGGCTAAGTCCAAATTTTGGCCTATTTCCCAACATACTTTCTTGTTCCAGTAACTGTTTATTGAAATCCAAATTATAGTTAAGTCACCTTATATCAAATCTTTATCCTTATAATGATTACCTTTTTATCTTAATTAATGAACCCAAATTTATCATAAAATTTATGGATAGCTAGCGTCGTCCTATTAATGAGAAATGACTTGAGGTATGTTTATAAATCTCGAGGAGGAAATTTTAGTAAGGGGAAGATTATAACAGTCTTGTTTCAATTACGGGGAAGGAGGAGAGAAAATGAAGGGAGGCGAGAGGAATTGAAGAGCTGAGCAGAAGGGAGATGCAGCGAGGAGTCTGGAGGTTGAAACGAAGTGTCGGGACACCGAACGGAGGGGAAACAAGAAAGTCGGAAGCCAAGAGATTACTTTTGCCTTGTAAAAGGATGCACTTGAGGGAGGGAGAGGTGAGATCGACCTACCTGGGAGACGAGAGGCGTAAGAAGAAGAAGAGGAGGACGACGTTAGAAGGAGGCAACTTATGTTGAGCTGCGATTAAAGGAGTCGGGTAAGAAGTTGCAGCTCTGTTGAGGGGATTTCCTTGCGTGCGTAAAAGCTTCAATTGTGCCCCAACCGACCATCGAAGAAGAGAAGAGGAAGCAAGGAGGAGAAGAGCGACAACTTAGGAGGATCGAGCATAGGCTGGATCGTGTAGAGGAGGAAGTTGAGTCTTCCTGTGTAGTGCTAGATCGGGTGTTATCCAGGTGAGTTTTAATAACTCTTAAGTATGATATTTAGTAAATATATAT